ATTCTTGGTGTGCAACCCCCAAAGTGAAAATTTATTAGTCGTTATTTTCAAAAACCAAGTAGCGAGTCACAAAGAGCATAGTCAGATTATCTAGAATACGAGCTTTAAGGCTTGCAGCTTACTTTCTGATGAAGATATCAGCGAATAAAGATTTGAAATATTTGGTTAATTTGTATGGGGACGCCATCTTGGATGATAACTTTGATCATCCAAGATGGCGGCTGGTTTCAAATTGACTTCAAAAACTCTGGTTTCCTTGATTTCCTTTGTAAATTTTGTTCAATTATGGCTTTATTTCAAAGAAAAATCACCTTAAGTAAGTTCTTACGGAGTTGAAAGAATGATTTATCCAATTTCGAAGTTTTTGTTTACGATCTAAAAGTAGAATAAATTAAACTCCGCACAAACTAAAACTTTTGTGATTCGCCACCAAAGCGTTGAATTCGTCTGAAAATTTCCATACACACTATCTAGAAATATATTTAAGATATACTGTAAGAACAGCTCTTTAGCAAAAATATTTTGGATTTTGCGAGATTTTTTGCGTGACTATGACATCACATGCACACGAAGAATATGTGATCTTCAATTTCAGACGTTGCGACAGAACAGACTTGATGGTCGGGATATTGATAGAGTTTTGCAATATTATTGTCGTATAGTGTTAAAGTTAAATTCTCTTGGGCCGTTAACGAAGACCCTCGGCTAATTAGTCGAAACAAAATGAATAATGATGTCTACAGAGCATATTACGATAGACGTCTTCGATTAAGGCAATATTCACGCCGTATGGAAGTTATAACGAAATTTGGCCGGGGTCTTCGTTTTCCAGATCTGGAAAGCGAAGACCCCTTATGATTTCTCAATAAAATATTATAAAAAGATCTGACACATTAGGACTAAACAATTGTCAGAAGTATAAACATGTTTGACACTGTTTTCCCGAGAATTGACGGGGGTCTTCGTTTTTCAGGGTCTTCGTTTTCTAGGTCTTCGTTTTCTAGGTCTTCGTTTTTTAGGGACCCGTACGAAATCTGTATGAAACTGAAAATAGTTCAAAGCGATTTTTGCGCATACTCGATAATGGGACAATCACTTACATTCTAAAGATTAACAAGCCATTCATATTAAGCTGTTTACAAACCAACTTTTCCATTTTGTCGCAAATACTGTGCAGTCARCATGTTAACGTCGAAGCTTATTTTGGTCGTTCTGATCTTTGGTACGGTAAACGCCTACCACCCAGCTCATGGCAAACAGCCACACAGAAAAGTTCTCATACTAGGAGCTGGTCTGTCTGGAATTGTTGCTGGAAAAACCTTACTGGATAAGGGTATTRACGATTTCTTGATTCTTGAGGGTCAGGATTATATTGGAGGCAGAATAAAACAGGTAAATTGTTTAATTTGTTTTGGTGGTACTTATTTTCGCTCAACGGAWCAGGCAAATAATCTTTCTTCTTGTTGTTYGACAGGGAGATATAGATGGCTTCAAAATCGAGCAAGGAGCGAATTGGATTCACTTCGCAGATGATGAAGAATCGACTCCTATTTGGAATAGAAAATTAGAACAAGGTATCAGGGGTATGTGGAGCAACTACTCCGACTTGATCATCAGGTATGGAATACCACTGAAAACTTTCAATGTCATTTTGTTGTCTTTTTCTTAATCTTATTATGAAAAAAAAGTGAAAAGTGTGTCCTGATTTCTTTAGAGACCAAGATGGCAATGATATTACMGACCGTGACGCTTATGACAAACTCCTTGAGGTGATGTCACACGTGGAAGATGCCCAAGAAACCAGGAAGCAACCAAACATCCCAGCTCGATTGTGGCTATCGCTGAATGGTTGGAAACCGCAAACCCCTGCMCAATWTGCCATCGAATACYTTGAAATTGACTTTGAAMATTCTAAAAGAGCTGAGCTTGTGCCKTTTAATGSGCTATTTGAGAAAGGAACRGATTTCTTTGTAACAGATCAAAGAGGTGTATGGGGACTTTACAAGGATCTGGAGGAAGAACTTAGGAAAAAGATAGTATTAAAGACTACTGTGACTGGGATTGAATACAGTAACAAGATGGTCAAGGTGAGACATGTACACTACAACACAATACCCGGGGGAGGGAGGGGGTACTTCGGAGTAAAAGTACCGGGGATGCTCGTCGGATCTCTTAGAAGTAAAAATTCTCAATTGGGAATCTTTTAGGGTGCCAGTTTCTGGAAATTTGCAATTTCTGAAACCTCTTAAGGTGTCGGAAAAAAAGAGAAAGATCGCATCGATATTGATTTTTCCTCTGCGTTTTGTTATCTCGGGATCTTTTAAGAGTCTTTTTGAAAATTTCCGACGAGCATCCCCGGTACTTTTAACCCGGAGGCCCCGGTCGTGTTTTAGATTTTTCATACATGGAAAATGAGGTTATTTCGCAATCCGTTTCCATCCATCGGTTTAAAGGTCGAATCTTACAATATCTCCATTCATATAGTATAAAGGGATAATAAAGAGTAAATTTTTGCTTATATTACGATGTATTTTTATTTTCAAACATGAGCAAAAGCGCGAAAGGGATGCTGGTGGACCATGGCCCTTTAAAACACTTATCTTGTTTACCATATAGGTGACAGCAAGCGATGGAGAAGTGTATACCGCTGACTATGCATTGTGCACATTCAGTACTGGTGTACTAGGTAGTGACATGGTGACATTCACACCACCCTTGCCAAAATGGAAGCAAGAGGCAATTTTGACGATGCCGATGTCTGTTTATACCAAGATATTCCTAAAGTTCCCGAAAAAGTTCTGGGATGATAAGGAATTTATCGCGTATGCTGGCCAGACACGTTCGTCTTTGTCAGTGTTCCAGGTAATGAAGATATAATTTTCTTTTGAAGGACAACTATCGCTATTATGTACACCCTCGTGACCGTAATTTAGTGTCCGTATTAGCGAAAGTTCGTATTAATGGGAGTTATTTTCAGTCATTTCTTTGTATTTTTCGTCGGGGATTCAGTATTTCCTGTCCGTAATATCGAGGCGTTCGTAATAGCGGCGTGTCAGTAGGCGATAATTGACTTGACAGTGGGCTGAAAAACACAAATAGATGTTCAAAACCAACGAACCCCTGTTGGATATAACTCTCCCTTGAAACAGAATAGNTACAAGGGTCTGGAGGAAGAGCTTAGGAAAAAGATAGTATTAAGGACTACTGTGACTGGGATTGAATACAGTAACAAGATGGTCAAGGTGAGACATGTACACTACAACACAATACCCGGGGGGAGGGAGGGGGGACTTCGGAGTAAAAGTACCGGGGATGCTCGTTGAATCTCTTAGAAGTGAAAATTTTCGATTGGGAATCTTTTAGGGTGCCAGTTTCTGGAAATTTGCAATTTCTGAAACCTCTTAAAGGGACACTGTCAATGGATGACATGCGCTAGTAAACTTGAAAACACTAGGCTAGTGTTTTCAAGTTTATGACTCCAAGTTGGCGCGACATAAATCAGATCGTAAACGTAAACARATCTAGAATATTCCAAAGTGTGTCAAAAGCACCACAAAATGATTTACCTCGAAGGTTATACTTTCAAAGTCCGTTAGAGGTGAGACTGTTACTGCGCATATCATCCATTGACAGTGTCCCTTTAAGGTGTCAGAAAAGAAGAGAAAGATCGCATCGATATTGATTTTTCCTCTGCGTTTTGTTATCTCATTGAATATCTTATACATGTTATCATTGGAACTGATTTAATTTAATAATATTTGTTGTGCAATCTCTTAGGGGTTAAAAATCAGTCAGCCACGCCCTTTATTTATTTAAGGCTCGGGATCTTTTAAGAGTCTTTTTGAAAATTTCCGACGAACATCCCCGGTACCTTTAACCCGGAGGCCCCGGTTGTGTTTTAGATTTTTCATATATGGAAAATGAGGTTATTTCGCAATCCGTTTCCATCCATCGGTTTAAAGGTCGAATCTTACAGTATCTCCATTCATATAGTATATAGGGATAATAAAGAGTACATTTTTGCTTATATTACGATGTATTTTTATTTTCAAACATGAGCAAAAGCGCGAAAGGGATGCTGGTGGACCATGTCCCTTGTTTTTATAAAAACACTTATCTTGTTTACCATAGGTGACAACAAGCGATGGAGAAGTGTATACCGCTGACTATGCATTGTGCACATTCAGTGCTGGTGTACTGGCAAGTGACATGGTGACATTCACACCACCCTTGCCAAAATGGAAGCAAGAGGCCATATTGACGATGCCGATGTCTGTTTATACCAAGATATTCCTAAAGTTCCCGAAAAAGTTCTGGGATGATAAGGAATTTATATTGCATGCTGGCCAAACACGTAGGTCTTTGTCAGTGTTCCAGGTAATTAAGATCTAATTTTATTGTGTACTGACAACTATCGCTATTACGGTCACCCTCGCGACCGTAATTTAGTGTCCGTATTAGCGAAAGTCCGTATTAATTGGAGTTACTTTCAGTCATTTCTTTGTATTTTTCACCGGGGATTCAGTATTTCCTGTCCGTAATATCGAGGCGTTCGTAATAGCGGCGTGTCAGTAGGCGATAATTGACTTGACAGTGGGCTGAAAAACACAAATAGATGTTCAAAACCAACGAACCCCTGTTGGATATAACTCTCCCTTGAAACAGAATAGYGAGCAAGAGAAGTAGTGGCAGATAAAATGCAATGGTGCAGGCCCGTAGACTGGGGGGGTTCGGGGGGGGTGCGTTTGGGAAGTTCTTTTCGAGAATCTGCTGTCAAATAAAACAGCGGTTATTTGCTTTGAATTCGAAAGTGGAGTATTAAAATGACATTAGCTGATAATATAACAAGTACCATGTTTGCTTTCCAGGATCTACAAAGGCCAGGAATATATCCCAATAACAGTGGTCTGTTGCTGGTCACTGTTACCGGTGACGAAGGAAGAAGGATTGAGAAACAATCCTTTGAAGATACGAAGGCAGAAATGTCCAAAATGCTAAAAGGCGTTTATGGACAAGATATTCCCGAACCAACTGGTATGCTGTTTAGACATATAGTAGTCAACATGTTTAAAGGTTATTGTGAAATCTTTTTAATCCAAGTTTCGGTGGATGCGACGACCTTGGGAACAAAGTATTTAAGAAATTCCAGAAATCCGGGTTCTTTTCATTTCTTTGCAATATATAGTCATATRGGATAATAACTTTGCATGGCCCCCTCTAACATGGTTTTTGTTTGGTTGCTCCTCCCTCAAAAGGTTCCAGCCAATGTCAAGTCAATATAATACGATATAATGATAGATTAGTTGACTTCTAAGGCACAATATATAGTCATGATTCGGGTCTCACTTTTCAAGATGGCGGACACGTTTTCCGAAACTCCTGATGCATGTATCATCTGTTTCTACGTGTCTTTTCAGATATCTTTTATCCACGTTGGTCGCTGAATAAGTTCGTTCGAGGAAGCTACGCAGAAGGAGTTGTAGGTATGACGGAAAAAACTCAGAAATTGTTGACGAGAAATCTCGAAAACCTATACTTTGCTGGAGAAGCGACGAGTGCTGACTGGTACGGATACATGCAAGGTTCGTACTTCACTGGCAAGAGACAGGCAAAGAGGATTGCTAAGGCAATCAGAAGACGACAAGCAGAAAAGTAACTCGATCGTTTTTAGTATCATGTTCTCATAATGCATATGAGATTGTATACCAATAAATGAGAAATCGTGTTCATATGTTTTGAATTTTTTTCTCGTTTTTAACTCGAAGATTGTTTATAAAGCAATCTATAAGATAGATAGATTTATAGTCACTCTCACCATAGTTAGTAACTATGCTCTCACTCACATTCCTGTAAACTTGAGCCTTCGCTTCTCTAAAATTGTTGCCACAAGTCTGTAACGGCTTATTCTTTCGGTTACGTGACTAAGCGGTTAGTCGTTGTTGCCATAGGAACGAATCTAGATTTTCAGTTCAATTCCACTTCCCCGATGGGGATAAATTGGGCGGACGCTTTCCATGGCTTTTGCTTACGCGGCTGAGGTCTCAATGGTTCTTGTAACCACCCCTCCCCTCTATATTTTAAAGTTATTTTGAAGATTTTAATTTTACGGTGKTATTGAATCGCACATTTCTCATCCTGTTATTGATGTATGTAACAATCCACTGGCGAAGTTTCAGTCGATTTTAGTTGAGTTTTTATACCTTCCTTCCCACCAAATAAGAAAGAAGTTTGTTTGGTGGTGAGAAAGTATATAAACTCAAACACATCGGGTGAGACTTCGCTTACATACTTGCATAACAAGATGTGTAGAGATTTTCGTTGCAATCCCAGTGAGAAATTCACGATTCCTTAATATTATACAAAATCTTCAAAATAACGTTAAAATATAGAGGGGAGGGGAGGGGAGTGGTGGTTCTATTAAAGAGCCTGTGCTCCCTGTGCACACAGTACGAAACCTTGGCCGTTGTGCACAATCCATAGTTCGGCTCTGACAAACCGTTTCCTCTCTCTGCTTCAAACTTATACAAACTCAATTTGTGGCTATGGAGACGCTTAAAATCGTTCAGATTATTTTGGCGATGGGAGTGATATGCAATATCAATTCAATCGAGGCTAAACAAACCCATAAAAAAGTCCTTATCTTAGGCGCAGGTCTGTCAGGGATTGTCGCAGGCAAAACCTTATCGGATAATGGAATCCATGATTTCTTGATCCTAGAGGGACAGGACTATATCGGTGGTAGAATCAAACAGGTAGGTAGTCGAGGCGTCTTTGTGCATGTTATAGTGAGTCATCTTCATCCGTCTGTGAAACAATTACTAGTCAGTTTTGAATAGTAATTACTATTAGGGTGTAGTAGGCTACCAAATGGCAAAATCAAAACCAGTTTGCCTAATTAGTTTGTCGCATGTCATAGAGTCATTTTCATCCGTCTGTGAAACAATTACTACTAGTCRRTGTTTAATAGTAACTATTAGGGTGTAGTAGGCTACCAAAAGGCAAAATCAAAACCGCTTTTGCCTAATTTGTTTGTCGCATGTCATAAGTTAAACTATTCGGAGCTAATAGGGGGTAATAGTATTTAATAGTACAATTCCTATTTCACAGATGGATGAAAACGACTCTAGTCTAGGCAGTGGTAATCCAAGGAATGTGTAATACAAACGTTTTCTTGTTGAAAGTCATCATGACAACAAAGGAATTTTGATATATCACGATACATCAGCTTATAAGTAAAACTGCAAACAATTTTTCTGTGAATTTGTGTGTGTTAGTGCAAACGCAGGGAAACCAGGAAATAAAATCAAACTAAATACTGACAAATAGCGGCTATTTAGAGATGAATGATCAGTATCAATGAACCAGAACGCAATAAATAAGAATGAAAAATGGTCCCCTGTGGATTCATCTTCATTGTGTTTTGGTTCTTTGATACTGACAAACTGTCTCTAAATAACCGCTATTAGTTAGTATTTGGTTTGATTGTATTTCATGGTTTTCCTGCGTTTGCCATAATACCGTTATGCAAAAATATAGATCCGATAAAAAGTCAATATTTATGTTTGTAAGAATCATAAAATACTCCCTGTAGTAGAGTCATTTTCATCCGACTGTGAAATTATGTTACCCCCTATTCTTGGGTTGCAACCACGTGACCAAAAATCCGTCGAGAAATAAAGAACAAAGCTATCGCCGCCATGTTGGATGAATGAACAAGAGAAACTAATGAGGAATGCTTTGTTATCGTCATCCAACATGGCGGCGATGACGTAACGTGCAACCCGAGAATTAGCACCAAATAGTTTAACTTAACGCGACAAACAAATTAGGCAAACTCGGTTTTGATTTTGCCTTTTGGTAGCCTACTACACCCTAATAGTTACTATTAAATAGTACTGACTAGTAGAAATTGTTTCACAGGACGGATGAAAATGACTCTATAAAAATGCAAATAAATAAAATGCAAATCAAGTATGTGCCGTGAAATCATTGAAGCGAATAGACTGCTGAACCTTTTACGTCACTACTTGATTTTCAATGCATTGTGGGTTAAGTTTCTAGAGAAAACAAAAGAAATCCGCCATGTTTTGTCCCAAACATGTCCTACAATGCATTGCGTGTACGGTACATGACGTAAAAGCTGCAGAGGTCTATTGCATCTGTACCCTAGTTGACTTCATTATGCTCTGCTCTGCTCTGCTCTGCTCTGCTCTGCTCTGCTCTGCTCTGCTCTGCTCTGCTCTGCTNTTTTGTTTGGTTGCTCCTCCCTCAAAAGGTTCCAGCCAATGTCAAGTCAATATAATACGATATAATGATAGATTAGTTGACTTCTAAGGCACAATATATAGTCATGATTCGGGTCTCACTTTTCAAGATGGCGGACACGTTTTCCGAAACTCCTGATGCATGTATCATCTGTTTCTACGTGTCTTTTCAGATATCTTTTATCCACGTTGGTCGCTGAATAAGTTCGTTCGAGGAAGCTACGCAGAAGGAGTTGTAGGTATGACGGAAAAAACTCAGAAATTGTTGACGAGAAATCTCAAAAACCTATACTTTGCTGGAGAAGCGACGAGTGCTGACTGGTACGGATACATGCAAGGTTCGTACTTCACTGGCAAGAGACAGGCAAAGAGGATTGCTAAGGCCATCAGAAGAAGACAAGCAGAAAAGTAACTCGATCGTTTTTAGTATCATGTTCTCATAATGCATATGAGATTGTATACGAATAAATGTGAGAAATCGTGTTCATAAGTGTTTTTGAAATTTTTCTCGTTTTTAACTCGAAGATTGTTTATAAAGCAATCTATAAGATAGATAGATTTATAGTCACTCTCACTCACATTCCTGTAAACTTGAGCCCGCGCTTTTCTAAAATTGTTGCCAAGTCTATAACGACTTTCGGTTGTTTCGTTGTTCTTTCGGTTACGTGACTAGCACTTAGTAATTGTTGCCATAGGAACGAATCTAGATTTTCAGTTGAATTCCACTTCCCTGATGATGGTACATTGGGAGAACGCTTTCCATGGCTTTTTATTAACTTGAATATACTAATACGCGGCTGAGCTCTCAATGGTTCTTGTAACCACCCTTCCCCTCTATATTTTAAAGTTATTTTGAAGATTTTAATTTTACGGTGGTATTGAATCGCACATTTCTCATCCTGTTATTGATGTATGTAACAATCCACTGGCGAAGTTTAAGTCATTTTAGTTGAGTTTTTATACCTTCTTTCCCACCAAATAATCTTGAAAGAAGTTTGTTCGATGGTGAGAAAGTATATAAACTCAAACACATTTCCTGAGACTTCGCTTACATGCTTACATAACAAGATGTGTAGAGAGTTTCGTTGCAATCCCAGTGAGAAATTCACGATTCCTTAACATCATACAAAATCTTCAAAATAACGTTAAAATATAGAGGGGAGGGGAGGGGTGGTTCTATAAGAACCACTGATAAAGAGCCTGTGCTCCCTTTGTACACAGTACGAAACCTTGGCCGTTGTGCAAAATCCATAGTTCTGCTCTGACAAACCGTTTCCTCTCGTCTGCTTCAAACTTATACAAACGCAATGGCTATGGAGACGCTTAAAATCGTTCAGATTATTTTGATGATGGGAGTGATATGCAATATCAATTCAACCGAGGCTAAACAGACGCATGAAAAAGTCCTTATCTTAGGCGCAGGTCTGTCAGGGATTGTCGCAGGCAAAACCTTATCGGATAATGGAATCCATGATTTCTTGATCCTAGAGGGACAGGACTGTATCGGTGGTAGAATCAAACAGGTAGGTGGTTTGACGAGGCGTCTTTGTGTCATAGAGTCATCTTCATCCGTCTGTGAAACAATTACTAGTCACAGTGTTGAATAGTAATTACTATTAGGGTGTAGTAGGCTACCAAAAGGCAAAATCAAAACCAGTTTGTCTCAATTAGTTTGCCGCATGTCATAGAATCATTTTCATCCGTCTGTGAAACAATTACTACTGGTCAATGTTTAATTGTAACTATTAAGGTGTAGTGGGCTACCAAAACCGCTTTTTGCCTAATTTGTCTGTCGCATGTCATAAGTTAAACTATTGGGAGCTAATAGGGGGTAATAGTATTTAATAGTACAATTCCTAATTCACAGACGGATGATTCTAGTCTAGGCAGTGGTAATCCAAGGAATGTGTAATACAAACGTTTTCTTGTTGAAAGTCATCATGACAACAAAGGGATTTCGATAGATCACGATATATCAGCTTATAATTTGGTTTGATTGCATTTCATGGTTTTCCTGCGTTTGCTCTATAGCTGCCATAAGATAAATACCGTTATGCGAAAATATAAATCCGATAAAAAGTCAATATTTATTTGTAAGATCCATAAAATATTCCCTGTAGAAGAGTCATTTTCATCCGACTGTGAAATTATGTTACCCCCTATTAGCACCAAATAGTTTAACTTATGACATGCGACAAACAAGTTGGGTAAATACGGTTTTGATTTTGCCTTTTGGTAGCCGTTTACTATTAAACACTGACTAGGAGTAATTGTTTCACAGACGGATGAAAATGACTCTATAAAAATGCAAATAAATAAAATGCAAATCAAGTATGTGCCGTGAAATCATTGAAGCGAATTGTATCTATTCCCTAGTTGCCTTCATTATGCTATGCTATATTCATTATGCTATGCTATATGCTATGCTATGCTATGCTATGCTATGCTATGCTATGCTACGCTATGCTATGCTATGCTATGCTATGCTATGCTATGCTATGCTATGCTATGCTATGCTATCAGCAAGACAAATTCATGAATGATTGTAATTCCTTTTCTCAGGTTGAAATCGCAGGCTATAGAATCGAGAAAGGTGCAAACTGGATTCACTTTTATGACGACGAGGAATCAGCCCCATTGTGGAATGCTAAACTCAAAAATAATTTAAGAGGCATAATAAATGACTATTCAAACTTAATTATTAGGTAATACAGCCACATTATTCAGTTTCTAGTCTATCGTGGACGAGTACGTCTTCGATGTTTTGACTATATATGCTCATTTACATTTGAAAAGAGCATTATTTTGCATTAAAATCAAAGGATAGAAAAAAAATTTCGGAGGAATACTTGCAGACACCTCTTTTCCATTCATGAAAAATCTTAATCACGACCCCATTGAATGACGGTCGTTGAGGGATCTTTAAAACTCCATTCACGACTTTCCACACTCCGTTTCAGTGACCATGAACAAAGTATTGAACCGAGGCGTCAAGGTACAGCGAGCATAAAAGAAAAGATCTGTGGTCAGCGTTCCTTGACGCCTCGGTTCAATGCTTTGTTGTTCGTGGTCACTGAACCTGCGTATGGAAAGTCGTGAATGGTTTATTATTTCCTGGTCCAGGAAATAATAATTCTTTGGGGAGGTCAATTGATTTTGGGTGTAGGTTTTAGTCGAAATTCCAAATGCAAAAAGGCATATGTGTGGTGGACAAAGATCTGTTGTTGCAATTTGCTTTCTGATTGGTTCAGAATCCATTTGAAGTTCGTAATCGCGCAAAGCTTTCTCGATATACCTGGTCCTTTAAAAGCTTTGCAGGCATAGACGATGGAGAGATGGTAAAACGTTTTTTCTTAAAACCCATACTATATATATTTTCTAGAGATGAGAATGGCAAGAACATTACCAACAAAGCAACTTACGACAAACTCCTCAAAATATTCGGGAATCTTGAAGACGCACAAGAAAAGAGGAAGAAAGACAAGAAATCTCCAATCCCAGCGAGGGTTGGCCTTTCTCTTATGGGATGGAAGCCAAAGACACAAGCAGAGTATGCCCTAGAATACCTTGAAGTTGACTTTGAAAACGCCAAAAATGCGGAGTTAACACCATTTCAAGGGATTATAGAGAAAGGAAAGGATTTTTTCCTTACTGATGAGAGAGGGATGTGGAGTATTTACGAAGAACTGTATACAAGTTTTAAAGATAAGATAAAGTTGAACACAACTGTTACAGGGATCAAATATAACTCCAGTATGGTTGAGGTAATAACTGATCAGACATGTGTTAAAATCTACCGTCTGAGGTCATTTGAATAGGACAATAACATGACTTTTGAAGGGCATATTGTTTATTTGCGGCCCGAGTAGCGTCATTTGCGCCCGAGCGAAGCGAGGGTGCAAATGACGCTACAAGGGACGCAAATAAACAATATGACCGACAAAAGTCATGTTATTCTCATTATCATCAATAAATAAATGAATTTCACTCAACTTTATTCAATAAATTCCATGTCTCCAGAATCGATAGATTGTTTATGATTTGGTTTTACATTCATTTCTTTCGTGAACAGCTTTGCTTTCGCTTCAAACATTTTGTTAGCAGACATGAAGGCGCTGTCTTAGCGGAGCCAATGTTAAATGGCGGCGATGTATGGCTGCTCTTATTCCTGTCAATGCACTTGGGGTCAGGGGCTGTCCTTTTTCTGTTTTAACCTCTGCGTAAAATTTCCTTAGAACTTCGTTAAGTTCTTTTGGAGCAATAGTTTTCAAGTCAACACTGATTTGTCGTTTTTCACTCCACTTGAAAAACTTTTTCAAGCCCCATTCAGTTGCTCTCTTTGTGTTTTTGGCTTGAGCTTGAGCTTCTATTACGTCAAGCTGCTCTTGGCCTAAGTCAGAACCTTGATTATTCGCTACTTCCAGGTCGAAATTAGGATATTCTGCCATATTTTTGAGTGATAAATCGTTTCAAAAACTCAAACTTGAGTCGCAGCGAAGAACAACTCGCGCGCTTTCAAATTGTTATCACAATGAAATCTGATTGGTCGAGCACGATCGTAAGACCCTCGTTGGGCCAATCAGCGACAGGGCTGATACGAAAAGATTTGCAGCCCGCCAAAATCATTATCGGCCCGCTAGGTGCGTGTTTTTATGAGGGCAGTTTATTATTTGGCCTTCTATAATGATGATAATGT